GCGTTTCATGTGGGGTGAGTACGCCATTTTTTAAATTTCGCGTCGTGCACAAAACGTGAGTATGTGTTTGATGTTGGAGTTCAAATTATTCATTTCTTTCACCGTTTTCACTGTTCTTTTGTATACTCTGTTGGTAACAGTGCTTGTTTTTTTCATAAATAGACGATGGATTCCAGTTCCGAGTAAGTAGACTCCAAATGTTTTCCTTATTAACAGAATGGAGAAATTTACCATCTTGAACATCAGTTTATCATGTCATGTGAGAGGTCGGCTGATGTTAGTAGTGTGTAGTTATAATCAGAAGTCAAACTCGCAGTTTCTACAACGAGTCTAAATCATAAGTTTTTGAGCGCTGCAATCTTTCTTTTGAAGTCTCGATACATTTTCCTCCTGTTTGCCATGTATTACCGATTTATTCATGAATTGGTAATTTACTGGTTACTCTTATGCTCTTTCCGCGGCTTGAGAATAGATATATCGAAGATGCTTGTTTCCTCGGCTTACCTTCGGTGCGACGAAGGGCTAACGCTTGCTACGTCAGCTTTTATAATCGTAACGGTGGCCAATTTACCATTTCAACTTTGTTGATATATTCAAATTATTTCGTTACCCCCTCCGACGCAGCCCCAAACAGTTTCTTTAGAAACTATCAGCCTTTACCTTTAAAGTGATGTGAGTCTCACGTTACTAAGACTGTCATATTTATTATCCATACAAGTTTCATCCCACTACAAAGAATACTCATTTCGAAAGCCTTCATTACATTAATTTTTTTATACTTTATCAGAGACCAGCTAAGTTCAGCATTTTAATTATATTTCGACAGATAAGCCAAGAACATCAACCAAGAGAGGGATGTCGTATTTTTCGAAGCGAAAATCTATTTTACACTCAGCCTCACTTTTATCTTGCAATGTAAATCTTTCACAATTTCAACAAAGATACTGTGGATTTTCGACTTGTTAACATCATACAACAACAGAAATTCATCCTCATTAATGATTTCCTCGCAAAAACTTAAAAGAAGTTCGTTCCGCGCTTTCCTGAAGGACGCTATTCTCGACCAGGGACTGGAAAAAGTTCGCGTCTTGTTTGCCTTTTCTTAAGTCTAAATTCCCGCGCAAAGAACGGCGTTCTCGCCCCAGGCGTTTATATGACGTGAAGTCCTAGAAGAAGACGCCGTCCTCAAATCTTAAGGTCCATATTAGTTATTTAAGAACCCGGTATGTGAGACACGAGCCGAAGTCTGTGACGAACACCTCCCATGGGACTGCAAAGTACCTAACACCGTCGCGAAGCAGTGGAAGAAATTTGAGAGGAGCCTTCAAGACCAAGTTCAAGTACCACGCAGTTTGGCAGGCTTTAAGGAAACGCATACGAGTCGCTTGATTTTCTCGATTGCTTACGTATTCCGCTAAAAATAACTGAGAATTCGGCGGCTGTTTCAGTTGAAGAACTTTTAAAGAAATTTGAAGCGGTCGCATGTAACTCTTGTGAATTCCGTTGCATCCTTCATTTCGACAGTAGTCACTCACTGTTTTACTTCACTAAACTGCGACTGTGGTGTGATGACCATGCTAAAATGTTCACTGAGAATTTTACTCCATCTCATTCCACAAGTTTGTGTCAAGAGCCGTCATCTCTGAAATTCCTTAGATATCTAAACATTGGTCCAGAGGTTGACGAGGAAATATTCCGCTGTTTTCGTACAATAATTAGAGATTGTAAGTATTTGGAAAGCATTGTAATGTGTCAGTTGAATGAGAGCGTTTTGGAATGCCTGGAACAAATACCAAATCCTCTTACGTGTCGGTTGGTGCTTGGAAGCGTTATCCGTTTCGATCCGTTGACATCTTCTGAAGTATTGAAACTCGCCAGTTTGTTACCACGGTTCAACAACCTCATCAAATTTTGCCTTAACTTTTATGACTGCTGTGCTGAAGCAGAAAACAAACTGGTTTGTAGTATCACACACAAGACTCTTCAGGAACTGACACTGTTGAACTTGAGAATGACACCAGAAATAGCCGCGGCACTTGGTCGGTCACTTCCTGAAATGTCGTCTCTAGAGAAACTCTGGTTAATAGAGAGGAAGGAGAGCATCGTACAAGTGGAGGACATACGGACGGTATTTGGAGGATTTAACAAAACATTTCCGGCGTTAGAAGAACTTATGTTCTCTTCTTTCAGCCTCAGAGGTTGCCTTGCTCCACTTACTGAGCGTTTTCATTTCTTTCCCAGCTTGTGTTCCAGCGTAGGTTTTAGTGATTCAAATTTGGATGAACGTGACTGGCGGGGTTTGGTGGATAGTTTAAAATCCATTCCTAATCTGAGGAACCTGTTGCTAGATGGCAATCCACTGGGTGACGAGGACAAGGTGAAATTTATCGTGAAACAAGTACTGCCTCAGGTTGATCTGTATTACTGATAACACCAGGTTCATTGAAAAAGTGAGATGTACAAACGAGGATTGACCGAAAGAATGATTCATAGTGAACAGTGTTATGTGAGGTGCTCGTCCCAGTACCGCGCACAAATACATTTTTTGAGCAAATAACACTTTACAGTCAAAGACACCAGCAATAGCCGCGGCACTTGGTCGGTCGCTTCCTGAAGTGTCGTCTCTAGAGAAACTCTGGTTAATAGAGAGGAAGGAGAGCATCGTGCAAGTGGAGGACATACGGGCAGTATTTGGAGAATTATTCTACAATATTTGGAGAATTATTCTACAAAGTTTATCGAGAGTTCAGCATGCAGGCATATCAATTTTTTTTTTCGCATTTTGTTGTGGATCTTGTGAAAAGAGTTTAACAGATTTTACAATTTTTTCTGTAAAGGTCACGGTGCTCTGTCGATAGCCTCCAGAAATGTCTTCCTTATATAGAATTACTTATTTATGAGGGATGGTGGGAGGTTCTCTAGAAGTTGGGAAAGTAAAAACATCAGTTAGTGATAGCTTTTTCTATGTAATGTATTCGAGATTAAGCTTTATTTTTTGTACGAGCAACGCATGTGCATTTTCAGAATGACAATGATTGACCCGAGTATAAAAAATGACAAAGATTTAACTTCAAAGACCTAGAGTCACCATCATTTATAAAGATGTCATAGTTTACCGGCATATTTCGATGTTTTAGTTCTAATCATTTTCGGGTTTAAGGTCGTGCAGCCGATATTTTTACCTCTGCATTGCTAAAATTTCAATGATCATTTTTTTTTTGCGACGGCCGTAAGGAAGTTAAAACGACGTATAGAATGAAAATATGCAAAGATCATTCAGTGCGAAGTGATTTATTTTATTCCTCATTATTCCCTGCAAATAGCTAGGATACAAGAGAAATCCGTTTCTATTACCACTTTATTTATAACGTTTTAAGTCTCAGCTGCAACAGATTAAGTGGAGGGAGCGGTTTATCTTCCGGTCACCTCCTGGCCTGCAGAAAAGGCGTTTTTAGTCGATCGAAGGCAAATCCCCGAAGGGTGACCGACCACTAGTCGTTGCCACGCATTACTTCCCCGGATGCGTGCTGTGACATCGAATAGGACCGCTTTTATATTTAACAATTATTCGCTGAAGGCGAGGTGAATATCGTCGAATAATCCCCGAGACGAAGTCGAGGGGATTATTCGACAATATTCACCGAACCTGAGGCGAAAAATTGTTTTAGTATAATTTCAGAGCTGAACAACAGAGAAATTTCTAAAATCATAACATTTTAGTAACTGTTATTTAACATTTTATATAAACCGCGTGGAGCGGTTTATATAGAGTCATATAAGGAACCGCTCGACCAATCAGATTGCTGGAAACTCTCTGTTCAGCTCTGAAATTATACTAATTATGTATGATCACATCTTAAGAATTACTAAAAATAGTCTTGATGTGTTTTTCACCATTCTCGGTGGTAAAATGACACAATTTAAAGCTTGCCACTTGACTTCAGTGGTCACAGTTTTTAGGAAATAGAGAGCCATTTATTATTTATGCTTTTTGTATCATCCTCTCAAACTGCGAAACATGTGGTCTGTGGCTCGGACATAGACAGCTCCACCTATGAAGAAATTTTGTTTGCATAGCAGCGGTTACTCGCTTCAAACAAAAATTTACTGAACATGCGCACTCAAATTGCCTCTGCTTCAAGTTATTGTGATATCGTTACTTGTAATGCGTGTTTGGGATTAATTCAGGAAATAAAGCGCACTTCCGCCTTGAGGCAAGTTTAATTTCGATGTTTTATCCACTTTTTTCCACCAATCCAGAGTTCCAATAGAGGCGATGAAGTCCCTTCTGTTTCCATAAATCACTTCAGAGATCCTTTTATTCATAACTTTAAGTCTCAGCTGCAACAGATTAAGTGGAAGGAACGGTTTATCTTCCGGTCACCTCCTGGCCTGCAGAAAAGGCGTTTTTAGTCGAACGAATTAAGGCAAATCCCCGAAGGGTGACCGACCACTAGTCGTTGCAACGCATTGCTTCCCCGGATGCGTGGTGTGACATCGAATAGAACCCCTTTCATATTTATGTATGATCACTTCTTAAGAATTACTAAAAATAATATTGATGTGTTTTTCACCATTCTCGGTGGTAAAATGACACAATTTAAAGCTTGCCACTTGACCTCAGTGGTCACAGTTTTTAGGAAATAGAGAGCCATTTATAATTTATGCTTTTTGTATCATCCTCTCAAACTGCGAAACATATGGTCTGTGGCTCGGAAATAGACAGCTCCACGTCTTTTTCAGATAAGCTAATGTTGGTTGGTCTTCCCACCTTGGGCAATGGACCAATCCAACGTACTGCTGACTCCCCCCGAACCTTCTTTCTAAAAGGTTTAGGCCTCTCTCGTCAGAGTTCGAAATAGCCTTGTCCCGCCCTCTTCTTTTCTTCCCCCATCTACATAAACAATGACCAGTCTCGCTTTCAATTTTGTTTGCATAGCAGCGGTTACTCGCTTCAAACAAAAATTTACTGAACATGCGCACACAAATTGCCTCTCTTCTGCAAGTTATTGTGATATCGTTACTCGTAATGCGAGGAACGTTTGATCCTTACATGCGGATACTTTAGAAAGGGTCAAAGCTGCAAGGTATGTGTAAATGAATAGAGATTCACTCAGACAGTTATCGCTTTCGGTGTCTGCATGCGTAAATTTGAGTTCGTGTTTGGGTTTAATTTAGAAAATTAAGCGCACTTCCGCCTTGAGGCAAGTTTAGTTTCGATTTCGTTAGTAACATATTTCTCTTCTTTCTCTTTCGCTTTTGGGTTACAGTTTGGAAGTTATTTAAAACATTTTTCGCTGCCCTCGCTATATTTGCTTTTGATTAAATGCTTCAGCTCTAGCTCTGTACGTGAAGAAGTAAATTCAATGAACATTTACAATATGTCGTGGGCATTCAAGGTACGAATCAAATAATCAACATGCTTAATGGACAGCCAGTGCGACAAGACTTCCTAAATTTAGTTATTTCGCAAATAGGTCTGGGACCAAGTAACACTTTCAGCATTCAAATTCTTCATATGGCCTTGGAATTGTTTGGAAGACAAGGCAAGCAAAACACGACAGCACAACAACAAGGCAATGTAAACTTGTAAGTATCGAGCATAGTTGGTGAAAGACATTAATGCAAATTATCGAAAATTACCATGAGATCGTAGTCCTCGTTTTCCGACATTTTATAGTGCCATGTGACTTGGGGACGACATGACTTTTATACTGCGAGAAGCGGCCTTTGTGTGTTTCATGATGTCCTGACGTGACATTAGTTTACGGGTATTAAGACTCGTTTTTTTATTATTAATATTTTACCCTCAGTCTGCATTTTACCCCTGGTCTGCAGTCTGCATTTTACCCTCAGTCTGCATTTTACCTCCGGTCTGCAGTCCGAAGTCTGCGTTTTACACTGACCGTTATTCTAAGCATGCTGACCAGGTAGAACTCACGTTCTTATCTCTTCTACAACTTGTCTGAATCTAAATCATTAATCACGTTTGAACATTAGTGCAAAGTGGGAAGAAGACTCACATTGTGAGTACGTCATAAGTCCACAGAACAGTAGCTGTATTTTTATTTATTACACCTTATATATTCTCTATATTGACTTGTCAGGACAAAGTGACCTTCACTTAATGTTTGCAGACATAATTATTTGCAGTTTTCTGTGCATTATTGATTAAAGCAAAATTTCATAGCATCTTAGACAGATGTCTGCCTTGAATCAGCTGCTCTCTGATCTATCTCGCTGTTCTCTAGCTATAAACAGTAAATAAAACACAGAAAAAACAAAACACATTCCTTTAAAGTTTTGTGCTGGTTAGAGCCTTTTACTGGTTACATGTAGATGAATGATTGTTTCACGGACACCAAGTAGAGAGCTCCTCAGTGGATAGATTTGTTTTAGCAGAATTGTTTCAGTTATTATCCTTTTTACTTCCAAGATCTATATGAATTATAGTGGTCATGCATCACTGTCAGTGTCCTATTTTTTAAAATTATAGACTTGAAAAAATTGCCCACATTCTAATTAGCTAAAAAGAGTGTAGATCTTTTGTAACTTTGGATCAAAACTGGTTATTAACAAATAGTGCTTTTTCAAACTAAAGCATGTTCAAGGTGTGCTCAGATTTTGCCTGCCAGGTTTCAGCAATTGAGTTCTTTTTGATGTTGAGCTTTCATAATTGAAGCTGATTTTTATCGAACAGCTAGTTTACCTTTTAAAATCAATTGTCACATACTTCCAAGTTCATTGTTGAACTAATTTTCAATGATAATCTTGTAAAAGTTTGAATTTGACAAATTTAGCCAATCAGTTGAGAGATCTTCGTAAACTTTG